TCCTTCCTTCTTCCTTCCTTCCTTCCTTCCTTCCTTCAAGCCTCATGACCTACACCCCCCTCCCAAGCTCTGATGTTGGCCTTTCAGCTGGAGTCCCATCAGAGAAGGCCTTCAACATCCCCCCCCCTCCTCAGATGCTGCTGTTTTCCAAAGACTTGCCGTCTCATGCTAGCTTTACACAGGGGATTTCCTGCCCCAGCCACCCTCCTGCCCCCATCTCCAGCTTAGCTCTTTTGCCTCTGGGTTGGCCTACCAGAGAACCCTTTGGTGGTGCCGGTCATCCTTTTGGGCACCATATGCTGATTCTTTGTGTGCCTTGGACAAGGTACTCTCATTGCCTTACCTAAGGTGGTTTTTAAACTCTTTTAAAAAACAGCAGTTCTGGGGCATGAACTTCCTTATCTTTCCTGACATTTCAGGAATCTCATGCATGGCCCTTGGGGTCCTTCCGAAGGAGGAGAGCCACCGTTCGTTCGGCCAGACGTAGGCCCGTCTGGTTAACCCTTTGATCTCTAAGAGTGTCATACCAGACGCTGGCTTGTCCTGATCTTCTCCCTGAATCATTTGAATTGATTCTTTTTTAAAAACGGAAACCACTTGGCTTGCCTTCACTCTCCTTTTTGTCAGGCACAAGCGGGTGAGAATAAAATGAGGCTGAAGGTCAGCTCTTGCAGGGATAAAGGAGACCTCCTTTTGAATTCATCCCCGGCCCCAATCCCAGCCAAAAGGCATGAATAGACCCAATGGCCCTGCCCAGATTTTCTCAACCTTTCTGGGCCGAGGGAAACAAAATTTCTCTTGAGAGTACACTTGGCAAGGCTATCCACCATCCCACAACCATGTAGCATGGAGTTCCACAGGCTCACCAGGCATTTTCTCACCCCTGGTGCTGAGCCCCCTGAACATGGGTGCAGGGGGCACTGGGAAACGCCATTTCTCAGGGCCTCGCTCCAACCTCGCACAAGTACACAACAGGTCTGGGAAGTTCGAGAGATGTGCCGGCGCCCTGAGAGAGTAACGGGGGCTTAGCCGTGGCCTCTGCCATCAGCCCCTAACCCTAACCCCCCCACACCAGCAATCTGGGCCGGTCGTCCCCGCTTTCCCTTACCTGCGTCCGCCAGAGTCAAGCCGGCACCGTGGAAATAAACCAGGAGGGCTGCATTGAAGTAGAGAACCAGCGGCTCCAGCATCCTCCCCCGGGGGTCCATCCTGCCTCCACATCGGAAGGGCTCGGCTCAGCCCCAGAGGTCCCGATCCACCATGGGGAAGGCGAGAGGGACGGGGCGAAGGAGGAGGGAGGCAGGCCCGGGGACGAGGAGGGACCCTTCCCGTCCTCCCCAGGCGCCGATCAAGGGGAGCCGGCCGCCCCGCTGC